ATTTTAGAAGACAACAATGAAATGGTTTAACAATCTATCTTTCTAACCTAGTGGACAAGATCCATAAAGGGAGACTGGCTTGAAACAAAAACAAACTTAAGTAGTAATGTATGTACCCTAGGAAGGGAAAGTAGAAAAAAATTTTCAAGAAAAAAATGGGAGAAAATAGAGGTAAAGCAATTCAGATGGTAGAAAAAAGGCAACAGGAAAGAAAGCTAGATATCAACAAGTACAGTACAAAAAGATCTAACATGAGAAAAAATAAGACTTGTTGGAGCTCCCATAGAGGAGAAGAGTGGGAAAATATTTTTTAAAAATTTATTAGAGGGAGGGGAGGGGGGATAGTAGGGGATAGGAAAGGTAGCAGAATACAACAATTACTAATTGGGCATTATGTAAAATTGTGGATGTGTAACCGACGTGATTCTGCAATCTGCATTTGGGGTAAAATTGGGAGTTTATAACCCACTTCAATCTAATGTATGAAATATGATATGTCAAGAGCTTTGTAATGTTGTGAACAACCAATAAAAAAATAAAAAATTAAAAAAAAATAAATAAATAATAAAAAAAATAAAAATTTATTAGAACGAGCTAGCTATCATCATCTTTGCCCTACACTGCAAGCATCTCCTAACTGGTTTCCCTGATAATCTGTTGACCCTCTAAGGCTATCTTCGGGTGACCTTTTTTGCAGCAATTCTGATGATGTCCCTTTAGCTTCATATTGCACCATTCTTCTTGCTAGGACCATATTGTCCTTTCTTAGTTCCCCTAATATGCCACACTCCTATTTTATTCCCTCTGCCTGGAAAGCTCTTATCTCCCTACTTCCCCTTCTCCTATCCATCTTTCAAACCACCCTGATTAGGTCAAATCCTATTTTAAACAACTATCATTAATTCTTAAAACATGATGGTTTGGGGCTGGGGTTGTAGCTCAGTGGTAGAGCGCTCGCCTAGCATATATGAGGCCCTGGGTTCCATCCTCAGCACCACATAGAAATAAATAAAATAAAGATATTGTGTCCAGCTAAAATAAATATATATATATATATATATATATATATATAAAATTTTGATGGTTTTAATTTTACAAGTGATTGTTTGATTATTGACTTTCCTCATCATACTGGAAATTCTATGGAGAAGCCTTTCTTCCCCCTCACCATGTGCCTCACAGTGCAGTGCCTGTAACATAACAGATGCTAAACAAATATCTATTAAATGAATAATGAGAAAAATGGTAAAACCATCTATCATAAGTGGGAAAAAGCTATGAGACAACAAACAGTAAGTAAACAGATACAAAAGAAATGAGCCCAAAAGAGAAAAGCTAATTAGATAAATAAATTCAACAACCCATGGCCCAATAAAATTCATACAATTTTAGTGTGATAATATACAAACAAAACAAAGAATGTACAAGAGTAGGCAGTAAGTCTCCTTTTCCCTAAAAAAAGTCATAAAAGGAAAAAAATTCCACTTAGTAGTTATAAGGAAGCAAAATATATTTTGGAGCAAAGGTCATATAGCTCCTCAAACTTTGAATGATCAAGCAATGCTAACTCCTCTTTGCACTCACTAAAGTAAATGGCATTATCTCCCAACACCTCAAGTCAAAACCTTACTGATTTCTCCTTTACTCTGCACCTCAATATACAATCCATTCTGTCTTACAAACTCTACATTCAAATGTATTTTCAATTTTTCCCCCAATCTGCTGCTACCATGGCAATACTTCAAGCTAGCACCACTTCTAGACTGCAACAACGTTCTAACATATCTCCCTACTGCTACTCTTGCTCTTCTCTTATTCCACTTAGAGAAGTCAGTGATTTTTAAAAAACATAAATATCATGGTACTCCCACTGCCCCAAATTCTAAAAATGACTTCCCAATGCCTAGAACGAAAGAAAAACTCACTAGCCTGCACGATAGATCTCTTGCCTCTTACATCACTCTCTCCTTGGTTTGCTACATTTCAGTCATAATCAGTTCCATTTTATTTAATGAATAGAACTATATATCATCTTTAAGCCTTTACACCTATCATCCCCTTGGAAGTGTTTCATAGTCAGGTGGTCAGCATCACCTCTTCAATGTTGCCTCTCCTTTACTTGAACACTGTAAAACAGCTTATGGACCACTACTTTGTACCTTTTCCACAGCCTTTATAACAGTTATAATCTGGTTTATTTCATCAATAACAAACACATTACAGGTAGTGCCAGAAATATGACATTAAAGAGATAAATATGGTAGTATAGAGCTTATACTTTAGTAGTATAGAAAAATGGGAAAAAATAAATTTATCATGCAATAAGGGCTGACATGAAAAGTAAAACAGTAAAAGTAATGCTACATTTGTACATGTGCGCATGAGCACATGTGGCACTATGACACTTTTAGATTGTCAGGTCTGAGCAGACCTGACTAAAGTAAAAAAGTGAACTATGTGAAAAAAGACTGCTCTAAATGGATTATTTTTTACTTGTTTACTGACAGTTTACCCACTAAAATTAAAGTTCTATGAAGGCAGGGACCTTGACTATCTTATGCACTGTTGTATTCAACTTGATACAGTGCCTAGCAGAGTAGGCTACTATAAATATTTGATGAGTGAATGAAAACCTACTTCAGTTTTTGAAGAGCTCTGTTGGAAAGAATACCAAGTGTAATGTGTAGATGTTTTAATGTTAAAATCTAAAAACTTGTGGGAAAACATTTAGAAATCTTTAAACACCGTAGTACAAATTATATGCAAATTACAGTAAAGTATTTCATTATTAAAAGTGTGACTGGCATGCGTGCAGTGCTGGGTTAGATCCTCAGCACCACATACAAATAAAGATGCTGTGTCCACCGAAAACTAAAACAATAAACATTAAACAGATAGTGGAAACTTGTAAAAGTTCTGCTTCTTTGGGGCTGGGGATGTGGCTCAAGCGGTAGCGTGCTCGCTTGGCATGCGTGCGGCCCGGGTTCCATCCTCAGCACCACATACAAAGAAAGATGTTGTGTCTGCCGAAAACTAAAAATAAATAAATATTAAAATAAATAAATAACAAAAAATAAAAGTGTGAGAAACCAAAAAAATCATGGAAAATTAGTACCACTACTAGTATTAAAAGTAGGACTAAATAGTATTTGTTTATTTAGAAAATGTTGAATGAGATAAGGTGAAACTCTAATTTATCTCACCAGTATATTAATAGACCTGAATTAGAATAAACTAAAAGCAATAGTTTCAAATTCCCATCAGCTCTGTTACATGTTACCTTTGTGTTACTTTTATCCTTCTCATGTTCATCCAATCAGAACTAAAGTGAACCAGAAGCCTATAGAAGCCAGAAACTTACTTTGACATAAAAGTATAATCTGCATACTGAATTAATACCTAAGTCATCTTTTCAATTTCCTACTTCAAAACAAAACAAAAAATAACACACATATCATTGACCTGTTAGCACAAAAACCACTCTCATTCTCTTGACAGGTACATATACTGCCCAAACTAGGATGGATAATAGGAAATGAACTCATAAAAATTCACAAGCATTATCTTCTTCTTTTTTTAAGTTGTAGATGGACAGAATGCCTTTATTTATTTATCTTTATGTGGTGCTGAGGATGGAACCCAGGGCCTCACACATGCGAGGTGAGCACTCTACCACTGAGCCACAACCCCAGCCCCCCTCCCACCGCATTATCTTCTTACTAGGAATTTCTAAGGCTGACCTGCACATCAAAGGTTAAGACTTTTTCACTTCTATATGCAAGTAGGAAGAATTAAGCAAATTTCTTTTCTCCACCTCTATTAGCCTTTACTCATTTGTTAGACTAATATTGAGTACTAAGTGTTCCCGTAACTGTATGCTGTTAAAGCAGTATACAAGTCACATCCATCCCAACACCTCCTGCTACCACTAAGGATCTTGCTTAATTTTAAATTAAATTGTACTTTTAAAATTCAGTAATGCTTCTAATTATTTTAAAAAGTTATCACTTCTACATATTCCATTTTTAAAAGTAAAAAATTATACAGAGTAATTATTTTTTTTAAATTACATACAGTACAGACTCATTTCCCTAAATATATTTACAAATTCGATTACCAATGTAAACCAGTAAACCCTTAGTCAAATAAGTAACTTGAACATTTAAGTTCTTGATCCACAACTATAACGAAATTCAGCCGTATTTTAAGGGTCCTTATATACACGGGCAATAAGCCAATGGTTACCCACTAACACCATCCCCAACGAAAACAGCTTTTCTAAGACTAATAGAGTCACTAACAGTAAATGTTTAACTTCTCCTCACAAGTGAATCAAAATGGAAACACCTAAACTTCGTCTATTAGCTTTAGTGACTGTTTCAAAACCGACACTGTGAACCTCAATCTCTTTCTCCAAATAAATTATTTTAGGAAATATGTTTAGCAAACACACACACACACACACACACACACACACACACACACACACATTTCCTAAGACTACAGGACACAGCCAGGCCTAATCTGAACGCCGGTTGCAAAAGGAAGCCCGAAGCTCTGTGGAACACACGGATGGGTATTTAAGACCAAAATACTTCTCCCCTCCCCTCGCGCGGCCCCCAATTCCACACAACCCTAGCAATTCGAAACTTTCCACAAACGCCAACAAGACCCCAGTGCAGTCTGCTCTTATCTTAGGCAACCGTCAGAAGAAAAAAAAATTTTTTTTAATGTCAAAGACTTCTGTTGCGAACTCTCGGAAAGACGCCCACAAACTCGGGCTCGCAGCCCGATCCACCCGCGCCGCCTCGAACTGGGGCGGCCAAGCCCCGCGCCCCGGCAGTCTCGAACCCGGCGCCTCCGCGGCACATTCCCTCTCCGCCCTGGCCCACCCCTCGCACTCCGCCGCCCCCACACCCACCTAGCGCAGATAACTGATTATCCGGAGTCCCGGGGGCCACGTTCCCCTACCCTCCCCGCAAAGGCCGAAACAGACGTACCTTCCAAAAAAGTAATCTCCCCAGCGCTGCCGCCGCTCTTGCCGGCCGCCATCTTCCTCCTCCCACGCCGCCTCCTTCTTAATCCATGGCCCACACCGCCGCCGTGCTCGCCGGGATGAGGGGCCGCGCCGTAGGAGGGTAGCCGCCGCAGGGTTGCGGGCCTCGGGCTCAGCCGGCAGGCAGGCGGCGCTCCCACCTCCAAACGGGCCTACACAAAAGCAGGCCAGGCGCGCCCGGGCCTATCCGCAGACTGACGGGCGATAGCGAGGCCCGCGGCCTGGGATTTTCCTCAGGCTCCTCCGGGGGAACGTGAGCGGCGACGACGGCGACGGCGCTTCCCGGGCCTAGTTCCTCTCGGCCCAAGACTCCCCATCCACCGCCCACCCAGGCCGCCAGGGACGCTTCGCTCAGCCGCGGGACCCCAGGAAGGGAGAAGGAAGGCGAGCACTCAAACACGCCTCCCTCCGTCCCAGGCCGTAAAATGGCCGCACCCGCCGCGCCGGAGCGGCTAG